TGACATCCTTAGAACATATCGGCTTAGACTCAATGCATCGATGTGTGCATTTGGAGTTGGGTCTGGTAAGTTCTTAGGATACTTGGTTACTAGAAGGGGCATTGAGGCTAGCCCGGGTCAGATCAAGGCCATCTTAGAATTAAAGAGCCTAACATCGGCAAAGCAAGTGCAAATGTTGACTAGAAAGGCTGCAGCCCTGAATAGATTCATAAGCAGAAGCTCTGACAAATGTAAACCTTTCTTCAGCTTAGTGAAAAAAGTCACAGACTTCTTATGGATTGAAGAGTGCGAAGTCGCCTTGGACGACTTGAAGAAGTATTTGACCACAGCTCCAGTTCTCTCAAATCCAGTACCAGGAGAGAAGTTGTTCTTATACTTGGCAGTTTCAGAGCATGCAGTGAGTGCAGTAGTAATTAGAGAAGAAAAGGGAGAGCAAAGAGCAGTTTACTATGTAAGTAAAAACAGAAAACAAAAAAGCATTGTATCAAAAAGCATGGCATTGTGAGGCCTGAGAAGGTACTTATCATAATTCAGTTGGATGGTAACTAATGCTTCTTAGCTAACTTGCATAGTTGTTACATACCTGAGACTAGTAGTTCCAAATGTAAACAGTAGCAGAGTACAAACTTGCTAGAATCCTACGAGGTAAAAGTATCACCATCATGCATCACAAAAAAAATAAAATAAATAAATAAATAAAGAAATAAACTTTCACAAAGATGAACTTTCTCATAGCCTTAGACGCTGGGTTAGTTGCAAATAAAGTCAATGCCACTTAATTGCTAAGAAAAGGTGTTTGCTTGGGATACAAAACATAAGTTTCATATTTGTTTTCTTGGCAATTAGTAAGAAGGAACATGTAGGTACATTTTTTATTGAAATCCAAAACTTAGATTGATTACATGAATAAAATCATAATTACCATGGCCCTGTTGGATGTAAATCCACAGATTTTACTCTTCCTGACCTTTGAGCAAGTTTTATTTGATTAAACAATAATTGTCAACACGAAATTTCAAAAATTACACATAAAAGAAACAAAGATCCAATCCAAAACTGATTCCAAAAAAATTCAAAAGTAACACGAATATTAATACCTTTATTTCCAGTCTGAGAGGCTGCAAAGAAACACACGAATTAGTTAGTACATGTTACAACGCTAGATCTCGAATAAATTCAAATCTTTAACTGAGTCCAAGTACAAAATTCAAAAACTAAACACAATTGTGCAAAATTCAAGGCACTCGCAAGAATGTTGAGATATTTATATCGAATCGTGTCAGATTTGAGCTAGATCTAATATATAAATCGAAATGTGAAAGAAATTAAGAGGACACCTGAGCTGACAAGAAAATAGCTGAGTATAATAGGAAAAAGTACAATAGTTCTCATCTATAGCCTACTTAGGACATGATTTACATTACATTAAGCCAACTAGAGAAAACAGATCCACAGAGCCAGCCCCAAGAAATTGGGATTAAAATTTACTAAGTTAAGATGAGTATTATTCGTCCATGGCATGCTTCAATGAATAGCCCTTACAAGAGGGAATAAATCTCTTGCTTCGGACAGTCAACATAGCATAAATGAAAAACCACTAAAAAGTTGTCAAAAGGAAGTGGTGACACCAATTTTAAGAGACATAGTAGTAGCACACAGTTCAATTATAAAATGTTGAACTCATGGCAATCCAAATCCAAAAAATATAGCATTCCTCCAAATGATTACAAACCCTTTCCAAGAAGTTCAATCAAACCCACCCGCCCCCCACAGGTAGACATGTTGGTACCCTAACCTTAAGGAAGAATGGCACATACTGTTTAGAAAATAAATAGATATTCATCTGTTATTAGGTTCTTCAAGATAGAAAAGATCAAGAGAATAGACTACAATACTACAACATTTTCAACACAATGCTTTTTGCTTGCTTATTTGGCTCAGTGAGTGGTTTAAAGGTATTACTGTTGTATAGTTGCCTAATGCTGTGTGTACAGAGGTGTAACACTAGGGAGGTTAACTACTGGCTGCTGTTTTGTACTGCCGTTGCTGCTAGTGGAACTAGTGCTGGTTTGTTGTTTTTTATGTTTATTTCTTCCTTTGCTTGCTTTGGTTGGTTTCTTACCAATCTTGGGTGCCCTACTTTATTGTTGTTAGTTTGGCATGGTTATTGTTTTTCTTCATCAATATAGCTTCTTTTTTTGTTGATAAAAAAAAAAAGTCCCATACCACCCCTATTACCAAACTCAGTCCTCCCATTGAAATCACCACGAGCATAGCCTCTGCTGCTTCTATAGTTTCCACGTCCTCGGTTCTCCTCATTCCTGAATCCATATCCTCTTTCTGCTGAAAACCACACCTTGTTCAGCAGAGAAAGAACAGTTGTAGTTACAGAAAAGAAAGTTGGACTAGGAGGGCAGAAGATCTATGAAGTCCTGCATCTGCAATCTGCCATAGGCTGTAGAGTAGAGAAAAGTAGGATATCATCCAACTTTTCTATGCAGGCCTCAACCTAGAACCAACCTGGATACACCTCAAAAAAGCACATAGCAAGCCAGTGAGACTTCAATACCCTGGATATGGAGAAAAGGAGACCATAACAAAGAGGGCAGATCAACCTGCAACTATATATGAGCCCTTTTTATGGGTGAATAAGTCATAGATAAAAATAAAGAGCTTACACAACTACAAGGGGCATACCCCAGGCCCTACACCACCACTATACATGAACAAAAACCAGCCAAAAGCCACACAAAGGCAAGAGAAAGCAAACAAAAAATAAAAATAACAACAAAAAATATACAGCCCCAATACACAAACACTAGGGACTAGAGTTTTCTCTAAGCTATGGAAAACATTCCAAACGAAACTGAGAAGACTTAGACCAAAACAAGCTACACATCAGATTTGGATCCTTTTAATGTGTTCAGGGTCCCCATACCAACTGTATGTGGACCATGAACTCACCCCATAATCCCAAAATCTGAATCAATGTCAGCACAAAGATACGAGTATTTTCCATTGCACAACCCGCAAGGGTAGGCCACAAAATATTCACCTGAACATCAATACTAGTATAGACTAAATAAGAATGACTTTTACAATCAAAATTAAAGGATTTCTTCACACTTGAGGTGCTTAGAGCAGCCATCATCCCTTGCTGCCAGATTCCTAATTCCAGAGGACAAACTGCCCTCAAGTGTTCCCAGCGGCAGAAGACATCTAGCAGACATTTTATGTAACCCTTCTTTCCAGCAACAGACTTGAAACAAACACGCAACCTCATACATGAATTCCTATCACAGTTAAGAACCAATGCTCTATGCCATCGGTAAGAAAAAACATTACATACGAACCACAAATATCCCACATTATTTGAACACACATCACTCAACCCACAATATGAGACCTCACTACACTCAAGAAGTGTTGACAGCAAGCAACCTGCAAGATGGAACAACAATTCATAAACGTGTAAACAAGTTAGCAACAAAACTTTCTCAATATGGGCAGTGAAAGGTATGTGATTTAATGTCCTCCCCACACTCAACCCTCTATGATATGGTCTAGCTTCCAGAATAGCACCTTTCAACTTGCACATTAACCAAACAATTAGATAACACTCTATATATGCTCCCATTCACTCAACCCATTTGAAGTGATCTCACATCCCTCAAAACTCTTCTAACCGGATCCAGAGAGGTAATACTATTCTTCAAAATTGAATCTGGCAGCCTCCATGTCTCCAAAAACCACCTGTCTCTTTGATTACTATTTAGGTTAGTAACAGAAAGCATCCGAAATCGAACCATATCAATTATTTGCTTAAATAACCACCTCCTCGGGGAGGAACTCCCCATTAAAAAATTTGTTATTTCTGGTCATCCACAATTGGTAAACTGTGCAATTAAAAACCAATCTGGAAATGACCGACCCGAGGGATTTATCCCAAATTTGTTGAGACAGAAGCAGAACCAGCTCAAACCATGACAGATTTGGCCAAGAAACATTTAACTTTATTTTCATGACATTCCACACTCTATCAGAGAAAGGGCAGTGGAAAAACAAGTGGATGTGATCTTCATAAGGGTTATGGCAAACATAACATTCTGAAGATTGACTAATACCAAACTGCTTAACTCTATCCCCAGTGTTAAGTCTCACTGTCACGCAACCCTCAACAGGAATTCCCTAACCCCCACAACCAGCCAATACATGCAGAAAGATGAGGAAAAAATGTACAGCATGAATGTACTCCATCATGCAATATAGAAGGTTTTTTTTTTTTTTTTTCCCCTTATGGGAGAGGAGGGGAGGGATTGTTTGGCTTATTCAAATTTTGTGGTTGAAATTTCATCAAACTATATTAGTTTAGTTATTTATTTATTATATGTATTTTTATTTGATTTGGATATTGATTTGCTGTTTATTAGAACTATATTTGTTTTATGAAAATTCATGTATATAATGATTCTCTTTCTTTATTGCATTCTTGCTTTTTTTTTTTACTCTAATCATATGATATTCTCATTATACATGACCATTTATAGGCAATTTTATATTTTTGCCTACTTATGAAAGTTAAGGCAATGGAATTGATGCCTATAAGACACTTTTAAAATATTCATTACAGTTATCACAAAATGTCTCAAACCTTAATATAGCCTTGGTGTAGCATTGCCTATGACTAAAATTCATAAAGGTCATGTTCGAAGACCTGTATATTTATGTATCATAGTTTATTAAGAAATCCCTATTTTCACTATTTAGATGCACTTCTATTTGTGTGAAATTTCTCCACCTTTCTGATCTAAGCAACTATATGTATTAGTTGGCCATATTAGGAAAAAAAGTTACTTCGCGATTAATGATGGAGAAAGATTGGGTACATCTTAATAGGTAATGAAAATTATATTTGGAACTTGTTGTGCTTAAAATATTCATTCTCAAATGTTTAGATAAATTTGGACTTTGAATGGTAAAATAGAACTACAGATGAATACATGAAAGCAGCATGGAATTTTGTGGACATGGCTAAAAGGAATGCAGGGTATCCAGAGAAGATTATATGTCCTTGCAAAGATTGTCGAAACTTAAGTCACCATTGTATTGAGGTTGTGTATGAGCATTTGGTCATAAAGGGAATGGATGAAACTTATACAAATTGGTTTCATCATGGAGAACAACCAAATGTTAGTGATAAACCTGATATGGAAATGTTAGGCTCATACAATTTATTTAAAGCTGCATGTGCACGAGATGACAATTATGAAAAATCTGTTGACGAAAGTGGGGATGAGGATTTTTTCAAATTATTGGAAGATGCAGAAACTCCATTATATTTAGGTTGTGAAAAATACACAAAGTTGTCAGCAATTGTAGCTCTTTACAAGCTCAAAGCTGTAAATGAATGGTCTGATAATAGTTTTAATAAACTTCTGGAGATGTTACATGATATGTTACCAATGGGAAATGTCATTCTAAAGTCTGTATACTCTGTGAAAAAATTTGTCAAAGCATTTGATTTAGGGTATAAGAAGATTCATGCTTGTGTGAATGATTGCTGTTTGTTTAGAAAAGAGAATGCTGAAATGGAGAGTTGTCCAAAATGTGATTTTTCACGATGGAAGGTCGATCAATACACCAATAAAATTAAAAAAGGTGTTCCTGCTAAAGTGCTAAGATATTTTCCTGTAATCCCAAGGTTTAGGAGGATGTTTAGGTTATCACAAATGGCTGAAGATTTAAGGTGGCATTCTGCTCATAAAAATAAAGATAGCAAGATGCGACACCCAGTTGATTCTTGCTCATGGGACTTGGTTAATAATAAGTGGCCACTCTTTTCATCAGATCCTCGCAATCTGAGACTAGGTCTAGCGGCTGATGGTTTCAATCCATTTCGTAATTTGAGTTCTACGTACAGTTGTTGGCCCGTGATGCTAGTTGCATATAACTTACCACCATGGTTATGTATGAAAAGAGAAAATGTTATGTTGACATTATTGATTCCAGGAAAAAAGCAACCACGTAATGACATTGATGTATATTTACAACCACTTATAGAAGACCTGTAAGAGTTGTGGAATAATGGGGTGAATATTTACGATGCTTTCAGGAAAACTGTTTTCAATTTGAGGGCAATTTTATTATGGACAATAAATGACTTTCCAGCATATGGAAATCTCTCTGGGTGTAGTACCAAGGGTAGAATAGCATGTCCTATATGTGGCAACAATACATATTCATAGTGGCTAACATTTAGTAGGAAGTTTGCATATATGGGCCACAGGTGCTTCTTTCCACCATCTCACCCTTTTCGAAAGAAAAAAACTTGGTTTGAGGGTAAGGAAGAAAAGAGAAGAAATCCAAAAATCATGACTGGCAACAACATTTGGGTTTCTATTAAAGACATGAAGAATGATTATGGAAAAAGTGGAAAGAAGAAGCGAAAGCGAGATAATGAACCTATTCAAACGTGGAAAAAGAGGTCAATTTTTTTTGAATTACCTTATTGGAAGGTAATTGTTATTGACTATTTTGATATATCTTATTTATTTAATTTTTTTGAGTTTTTGATAGTAGCAATTTTATAAGTGTTTTTATAATGATTTCTCAGGAACTTACATTACGTCATAACTTAGATGTAATGCATATAGAGAAAAATGTTTGTGAGAGCATCATTGACATCTTGTTGGATATCAATGGAAAATCAAAGGATGGTCTCAATGCCTGTAAGGATTTACAAGAAATGGGAATACGACATGACTTGCATCCAGAAGACCATGGGACTAGAACATACCTCCATGCAGCTGCACATACACTATCAAGGACTGAAAAGAAAATATTTTGCAAGAGGTTATTTGACCTAAAGTTACCTGATGGGTATAGCTCAAATATTGGGAATTGTATATCGATGGAGGAATGCAAGATTATAGGCCTCAAATCCCACGATTGTCATGTTCTGATGCAACAATTGTTGCATGTAGCTTTGAAAGGATTAATGCCGAAAGGACCAAGAAATGCCATACTTTGGTTGTGTTCATTTTTCAACAGAATATGTCAATGAGTCCTTGATAGAGAACAAACAGCTGCCCTCGAAGAAGAAGTCATTGAAACCTTATGCATGTTTGAAAGGTTCTTTCCACCTTCATTCTTTGACATCATGATTCATTTAACGATTCACATAGGACGAGAAGCACGTTTATGTGGACCAGTCCAATATCGTTGGATGTATCCCTTTGAAAGGTGAACACCTATTTCATGATTATTAAATATGACTATGTGTTAAGAAGTATCATTTTAATGTGATGTTCATTTTTCTTAAGATATATGAAGATACTCAAAGGATATGTTAGGAATCCTGCACGACCTGAAGGCTGTGTCGCAAAATGCTATCTTGCAGATGAGTGCATGTTATTTTGCAATAAAAATATGAAGACAACTATTGATGTAGATTATCAAGTAGGCCGCAATCAAGATTTTTATAATGATGTGATTCTTGAAAGTCGTCCAATTTCAGGTGGAACATCAATCACATTGAGTGATGAATTGTTGGAAACTGCACATCGTTGCGTGTTGTTCAATACAGTCATAGTGGAACCCTATTTGGAGTAAGTATGATAGAATTTCCAATGCATAATTTACTAGGTACCTGATATCACTTATAAACCACTTACATATTTTGGTTTCAATTAGGTTGCATTTAGAGGACTTAAAGCAATCAAACAGGAGCCTTGGTCTTCAAAAAAATAAAAGCTTACTTTTGAAGCGACATGCTGACAATTTCGCAGCATGGTTAAAGGAAAAGGTTACATGTTTTTTCAAATCAGTTTGTTTAGAAGAATATGATTACATAACATATGAATTTATTCCCTTATTTTTTAACAGATTTAGTTTCATAACCCATCAACTAATGAGTTGGACAATAATGAGGTGGACAAACTAAAATGGCTTGCATATGGTCCTAGAAAGCATGCAATGTCCTATAATGGATATATAATTAATGGGTAGCGATTCCACACAAAGGAAGCAGAGAAGTCAACTCAAAATAGTGGTGTTTCTATTGAAGCTAGCACCATGTGCGGAGCAAGTGCAAAGGACACTTCACAAGTTATTGATGTCAGTGCATATTATGGTGTGATCAGAGATATAATTTTATTTGATTACCATACATTTCAACTTCCAATATTCAAGTGTGATCGGGCAAACATTGGACATGGTGTTAGATTTGAAGATGGTTTTACACTTGTTAATCTGCCCCAAGGTGAGAACCAATATGAGAGGGAGCCTTTTATATTGGCCTCACAAGCAAAACAAGTGTTTTATTCGAGGGAAACTGATTCATTTAATTGGTATCTTTTACTAAAGGCACCGCCAAGAGGTTCTTATGAGTTGGAAATGTATGATGAGAATGAGGATATGTCTTCCAGGCCACGACATGTTTCATCACTTGATTTGAACATTGATGATGATAATGACGAAGGTAGTTTTATGAGAGAAGATTGTGAGGGCATATTGGTGTGATTTGTGTACTACTCTTGAAAAGATTGTAGTTTTTATCTCAAGTATTTTTGAGTTTATAATGTTATTTTGAAATTTCTTTTTGAAGCACTAGTTTACATTCTAAATTTGTTTCAGAATTATTTATGGTGGTTTGAAACAAGATAAAAGAGTTTTAACTTATGATGAATGTATAATATTACACTTTACAAGCTTTTATTTAAAGCTTTTTGGGAAATGATGGTATGTACATGTTTTTTTTGCTTGGTCATTTCTATCACTTTTGTAGCCTTTATGTATTTATAAGGTATACAACTCAATTCTTGTTTCAAGATACTTTCTTTATTTCATTTCATTTCTCTAACTAAGTTTGGAATTTGATGCTATGTTATTATTTTGTTGAATAGGTTGGCTACCATGGTTGCTAGTTGTAAGGGGAGGTTATGTCCCAGGCAGACATCAAGTGAAGTCTCTCTTGAAGGACCATCTAACCTCTTGCCTCAAGATTCCCTAGAAACAGTTGCAGTTCTTACAAAGGGTTCACAAAGTCTTAAACAAAAAAAGGGCCCAACCAAATTGAAAACAATTGTAGTGGATGGTGGAAGTCGAATTGAAATAGCGTACAATGACTTGGGTCAACCAATTGGTGATGGATCGGTCAAATTATCCTCCTTCTTAGGAGCTCTTGTTCGAGAGATTGTACCTGTAACACTTACTGATTGGAGGAAACTTCATTTGGAGATAGGAGAAGTCTTATGGAAATCTATTCAGGTATAGTATACCAAACTTAAATAGCTTTGCTTTGAACGTAAAATAATCATAACATTCATGCTAATACAACTTGCAGGTAAGATTTAAGGTAGATGAAGAGTGGCAAAAAAATCATATATTTATGTCAATGGATGATCTTTGGAGGGCCTCCAAATCAAGATTAGTTACCAAAATAAGGAAAGCATCAAACGAAGAAGAAAGGCTTAAACTACGACCTGATAACATCAAATCAATTCATGAGTGGAAGGATTTCTTGAAGGAAAAGACAAGTGAAAAGTTTAAGGTATGCAACTTTTGAAGTTGTCAATACTATTTTATAAAGGCAACATATGATAAAGACAAATGCTATTGTTATCAACACTATTTTATAAAGGCAAATTGTATTCGTATCAATACTTGTAGACACCCCATTTTTGACCGCCCTTAAGACTTGGGCACTACTGATGGTTTACTTGGTGGAGAAAGTTGAGCAGGGCAAAGGTTCGATTTCTTTGGCATGAGGAGAGTCAAACCCTAACCTCACACCCCATTTCTTGATCAAAAGATTTTAGATCTTAAAACCCTCTCTTTCGAAATATTTTTGAAATAAAGTTCCTATAATGTTTCGAGGCTCACATTTTGTTAAATGTCGCATTTTTCGGTAAACCAAGCCAGGACAAAGTGGAAATGAATGAAAGAGAGATGGAATCTTTGAAAAATCTTTCAAAACACCTTGCTTAGGGGTTTGAAGTTGAGGAAAATAGGAGAAGAGGGAAGAAACCAAGTTGAAGAAGAAAATGGGCATGAACCGCTAAGAGAGAAAGTCGAGCGGTCCTCGCTAAATCAGGCTTATCTGTCTATACATTTGGATTTAAGCTATGAGGCCACCACCGTTGGAAAGAAGACTTCCGGGGCTTCATTTTATGCTCAAGAATCTCCTGAAGCCAAGTCCAGACGGGGGAGATATAGTTAGTTGAAGTAGGGAATAAATCCGGTTGGACCGAATTTGCGCGGCTTCACCAAAACAGGCATAACTTTTTGCACAATTGGAATTTTAATGCAAGGCTACGCCATTGGAAAGATAACTTCTGGGGCTTCATCATAGGGGATGGCCGACCACCTTAGACCTTTTGAACTGGTCAGCTGACCAGGTTAAGTGGTCGACCGACCACTTGAATTGGTTGGCCAGCTCTCTGCAGCCTTGTCTCTGTGAGTTGGTTCCAACTGTGCTAGCTGGAGGGCACAGACTGGATCCTCCATACATGTGTATGGAGGATCTTTGGCCTTGTTTCTTGGCTTCTTGGAGAAGCTTTGGTCTCCTTGGTCTATAAAGGAAGCCCTCCCTCTCCATTGCAAGGGTTCAGATTTTGGTGAAGGCTCATAGATACATCCCTCTTTGTATCTCTCCCTTTGAGCCCTAAAAGAGTGAGCTCTTGACCCCTTTGCATACCATCTCCTAACCTAACCCCTCCACCATCACTCTAAGCATCTTGGAGGCCATTTTCAGAGGCTAAGGGACTGGTTTCCAGAGGTTGCTGGTTCTTGCTGTGCCACAAGGGTAACCATCTTCTCCCTTTTTGAGCATCATTTTGATCCTTATTTTAGCCATACTTGCAAGCATATTTGAGCTTTGGTGTAAACTGAAAAAAGTCTTATTTTGAGCTTCTTAACAAGTTTGTTTAAGGTCATTTTTCTGTTGGGGGTCATCTACCCCCTTGCATGCTTGTTTTCATCTTGTTTGAGTCATGCATCAAGGCCTTTGAAGTGAGCTTTGTTTGGCCTTCTAGCCACTGAAATCTAGTGGATTTTCAGTGGCTAGCATACTATTTTGAGCCCCAAAATCAGAGAGGGGTGACCCTCTCACCCCTTGTCTTGTTTACTAGCATTATTGGCCTAACAAAGGGGCCTATATTTACACACTTCTTGAGCATGTTTTAGGCCATTTTTGGTGGGTTTTCGGACCTGCATGACCTCTTTCCAGAGGTGGTTTTTCCATATT